GATACCAAACAAGAATTTTTTTCGTATTGTTTCACTCAATATTTTCGAACAAAATTTTGGGAGGAAGTAGACATTAGCCAAGGCTATAAATGTGGAAAATTTTATTGTTGAAGAAAATCGGGTTCGGAAGATATAAATTTTTGAATTGAAGTTGAGGCAAAAAAAAAATTTTGCACTCGATACCAAACACGAATTTTTTTCGCATAGTTCCAAACAAAAATTTTTAATGAAATTTTAGAGACTAATAGACACTATAATGACCTATCATCACCTCCATTTTGATTCTCTAAAACTTCCAAGTACAATTTTTGTCGCAAATACGAGCCCAACTTTCTTAATTATTGTTAAAACAAGTCGAAAAATGGCCAAAACCAATTCGCAAACTTGTCGAATTGATTTCACCACGCAAAACGCCAATTTCTCGCTCGGAAAGTGTACTTTTCGCTCGCATGAACTGGAAACATTTAACCGTTTTCGTGTGAATTGCTTCAAACAAAACAATAAACGCAGATCTAATCGGTGTTCTAATCGAAAATCCAAAACCGTGTAAAAATTGTGTGAGTGGATGAGGTCGAGGGGTCGTTTCTAATTCAATTTAAGTAATGAAATTTCCGGCTATTGTGTCCTTGCTTTCATGCTATTATCGATAATTCGACTTTTTAAAGTTAATTTTGGACTACATTATTGCCAACGCGTGCAAAAGATAAAATCACAATTATGACGAATTGTGAATTTTTCGGGTTTTTAGCGACGTTGTTAGGTCGATAAAGATACAAAAATAAATAAATGAAGACTATTAAAGGAATTTAACTCGATTGCAACGATGACTTGATTTAATTACACGCAACTGGAAACTCGGGAATTAATTATTCGCAGAGGGAAAACTTAATTAAAAGTTGCAATTTTTCTCATTTTCTCATTTTTACTGCTCTCTGAAAAAAAAAATCAAAATTTTAGGGGAGGGAATTTTTTAATGAGGGAAAAAAGAGATACTTTTGCATATTTTAAGCTTAAATTCTTCAATTACTCGTAGTAAAAATTATTTTTTCTCCCTAAGAAAAGTCAAAATTTAAATTCTTTTCTTCTGTTCGTTATTAAGTAATTGGATATTTTAGCCCAGTTTTTTTTCGACAAGTGCCGAAAATTATTCGTTTCCTCCCTCAATTACTCAGAATTACCAAGAAAAGTAAAAATTTGAGTTAATTTTTTCTCGATAAGTAATGCAAATTACTTTTTCGCCCTAAGAAACGTAAAAATCAAAATTTGAGTAAAGTTAGTTTTTTTTTTAAGAAGGAAAAAAAGATATTTTCCTTCTTCTGTTCCACCAAATTTGCGTTTTTACATTTTAGAGGAAGTAAGTGAGTGAGTAAAAGTTGCAATTTTTCTAATTTTTACTGCTCTCTGAAAAAAAAATCAAAATTTTAGGGGAGGGGATTTTTTAATGAGGGAAAAAAAAAGAGATACTTTCTTCCCTCCCTTCAAAATTGCATGTTTTAAGCTTAAATTCTCCGATTACTCGTAGTAAAAATTATTTTTTCTCCCTAAGAAAAGTAAAAATTTGAGTTGTTTAAATTTTTTCCTCGAAAAGTAATGCAAATCACTTTTTCGCCCTAAGAAACGTAGAAATCGAAATTTGAGTTAAAGTTACATTTTTTTGAGAAGAAAAAAAATATTTTCTTTCTTCTGTTCCACCAAATTTGCGTTTTTACATTTTAGAGGAGGTAAGTGGGCATTTCAGACTTTGTTCATAAACACTGACTTTTTTCGACAAGTACCGAAATGTTTCCTTTCCTCTCTCAATTACTCAGAATAAAAATCACTTTTTCAAAATTTAAAAAAAAGTTGTAACTGTTCAAAAAAAAAACATTTCTGGACTTTTTTCTTTTTGTTTCATTTTGACGAGAGCGGGAAATGTCCACTTTCCTCCCTCATTTCTCACAATAAAAATCTCCCTCAATTTCTTACAGTAAAAATTACTTTTTTGCCTCTATCCAACCAAATTTCCGTTCTTAACTTTTTAAAAGGAGGTAAGTGGACAATTTCAGCCCTTGTTGTTAATTTTTTTTTCCGACAAGTGCGGTAAATGTCCTCTTTCCTCTCTTTTTTTTGCTCAGAGGTGTTATTAAGGAAAATAAACGTCTAAATTTGAGTGAAGTAAATTTTTTTATGGAAAAACAAAAAAAGAAATATTTTACTCCTTCTTTGAGGAAAGTGGGCATTTCAGCCCTTTCAAAATTTAAAAATTTGTAATAACTGTTCAAAAAAAAAACATTTCTGCACTTTTCACTTTTTGTTTTGATGAGAGCGGGAAATGTCCACTTTCCTCCCTCATTTCCCACAATAAAAATCTCTTTTTTGCTCAGGAGTGCTACCAAGAAATGAAAACGGCCGCCCCCACCGCCCCCGACTCGACAATCACCAAACTTCTCTCGTGCGCTTTCGCAATATCATCGAAAGAAAGCGCCGCTCTGGGATTCCCCGACTTCCCCCTCGATAATCTCACCCTAGGTGCAAAAATCCTCGAAAACAACCCCAAATTATCACCTTACGACCTCTTTTTCCGCCTATACCCCTACAAGATTTTCCTCAAAGAGCAAATAACACATTTAGAGTCACTTTTGGGGAGCTTTGACGTCACACCACAACCCCAAACAGCATTTTCCTCTTTTACAAAAAAAATAAAATCGTTTTTGGAGACTCCAAACCCTCAAAAAACTTACATCGAAACCGAATATCAGAATAAATTGATTGAGGAAATGTTACAGAGTGAGGAGATTGCAGATTTCTGTATTATCGGCCCGCGAGGCTGCGGTAAAAGCCTATTAGTGCAACAAGTTGCCAACATTGCGGGAAAAAAAACCGAAAATATAGTTTTATACCAAGACATGACCGCTAGGGACTTAATCCAACAACGAACAACACTGGAAAATGGCGACACTGTTTGGACTCTATCGCCGCTAGTGTTGGCAGCACTGGAGGGGAAAATCGCCATATTGGACGGAATCCACCGAATCCACCCGAGCACACTTTCGGTACTTCACCGATTGGTCCAAAACCGCGAATTGCAACTCCACGACGGCAAACGACTTGTCAGTCACCAGTCCTACCAACTGCTCAAAACCAAATTCACTGACGCGCAACTCACCCAAAGCGGGGTTTTACCCATTGACCCCAACTTCCGCATTGTTGCAATCGGGGAACCCCCGGATTCGACCAATTGGTTAACAGCGGAGGTTTTAAGCTTGTTTTTGTTCCACCAGGTCCGGACTTTAACCAAACAGGAGGAACTCCACATTGTGACCTCCAAATACGGCCCTGTGTCCCAACAAATGCACAAAATAATCGAGTTGGCTCATGTGTTACGTCACAGTGGGGATCAAACTCTACTAAATCTAGCAGGCCATCTGTCAACGCGACAAATATTGAGACTAGCAGCAAGAATGTCAAAATTCCCCACTGGTCTCTATGACGTCCTTGAAACGACTTTTATGATCAAATTTTTGCCATCATTAGCACGGGAGGCTTTGGAACGCACATTTGACAGGTTAGGTGTGACAAACCGGTCACGTGACCCGATTAATGTCAAATGTGAGGTACAAAATGGCGTCTTGACAATTGGCCAATCATCGATTCAGGTCTACCAAACGTCAAATTTGTCTAAAGTCCCTGAAATTTTATTTTATGACGTCCCCCAACACCTCCAACTCATGGAGAAACTCCTCCAGGATTTCCATTTAGGTCAACACATCCTCCTCGTGGGGAATCAAGGAGTCGGGAAGAACAAGATTATTGACCGGTTTTTACAATTAATGAATCGGCCACGTGAATACATCCAGTTGCATAGGGATACCACCGTTCAAACCCTAACAGTGCAGCCAACTGTCAAAGATGGCGTTTTGGTGTATGAGGATTCGCCACTTGTCAAAGCTGTCAAAAACGGCCATGTTTTGGTGGTGGATGAGGCCGACAAGGCCCCCACTCACGTGACGTGCATTTTGAAGAGTTTGATCGAGTCGGGTCAGATGGTACTGAGCGATGGGCGCAGAATCGCCCCATATGGGTCCCCACCCGACCATATCGCCATCCATCCCGATTTCAGGGTGGTAGTACTGGCGAACAGGCCCGGATTCCCCTTCCTCGGGAACGACTTTTTCGGGGCCTTGGGGGACCTCTTCAGCAGCCACTCGGTGGAAAACCCCGACGCGGACGCGGAAATCACACTTTTGCGCCAGTACGGCCCTGGAGTCCCCCTGGAAACTGTCAAAAAACTCGTCAAACTCTTCGGGGAATTACGCAATATGGCCGACCAAGGCCTAGTGTCATACCCATATTCCACTCGTGAGGTTGTCAACATTGTCAAACATTTGAATAAATTCCCTGATTCGGACCTGGACGAGGTGATTTACAACGTGTTCGACTTTGATCGGTACTCGTCGGAGGTCATTGACACTTTGGGGGAAGTCCTGGAGAAGTATGGTTTTCCGGGGGGGAAAACCCCGAAAAAGACAAAACCAATTCAAGTGACCATAAATCGGGACAGTAACTTGGACGTGAGCGCTCCCAAGCACGGGAAGGAGGACCCAGAGAATGACCCCCATGTTGGGGGAAACACCTGGGCTGGGGGGAGTGGCGGTCGAGACACGGCGGGTCTGGGGGGGAAAGGGGGGCCCTACCGGCTCGACAAAGGCCACAAGGTGTACCAACTGTCCGATGAGGAGAAAAACACAGTTCCTGAACACGTCCAAAGGGCGGCTCGTGAAATGGGGCGCAGGGCGTTTCAGGAAAAACTGAAAGAAATCGGGATGAGTGGTTACGACGCCTCGCTTTACAACCAATTCTACCACTCTGTTGAACGTCAAGTGCAGAGTTTAAGGGTGATTTTGGGGAATTTACAGGCGAAAAACAAGGAACGCCACTGGACTCGCCACCAAACCTCCGGGGAATTGGACGATGTGAAACTGATCGACGGCCTCCTGGGGGAGAAGACAATTTTCAGGAGACGCGCGGAGCAGGACCCCGAAATGGGGGCCCCCCAAACCAAACCGAAGCTCTTCAGACTAGTCGTCGACGTTTCGGGGAGTATGTATAGGTGATTTTTTCTACAACTCCGGTTTTTCCCCTAATTGACCCTAAACCCAGGTTTAATGGCTACGACGGGCGACTAGATCGCGAGCTTGAAGCCGCTGTGTTGGTCATGGAAGCGTTTCAAGGCTTCGCCGATAAAATCCAATACGATATTATCGGCCATTCGGGCGAAGCGCCCTCTATCCCCATTGTCAAGTTGAAGGAACCCCCGAAAAACAACAAAGAACGATTGGATATAGTCCGGGTATGTGCACGACTTACACTTGAGATTTTTTCTACGAGTCGTTGTAGATCATGCATGCGCATGCGCAGTATTGTTGGTCCGGTGATCACACACTAGAGGCCGCTGAGGAGGCGATTAATTCGCTCGCTGAGGAAGATTGTGACGAGGGGATTGTCATTGTGCTTTCTGATGCGAATTTGGAACGGTATAGTATACCGCCATCCAAGTTGGCTCAGGTTTTGACCTCGAAAGCTAATGTTAGTGCCTATGTTGTTTTTATAGGGGGGTTAGGGGACCAAGCTGAGAGGTATGGCGCACGAGTGGCATACATATATTTTTTCTACGAATTTTATGTTTCAGATTAACGCAAAAATTGCCAGCTGGACGTGCTTTTATCTGTCGAGACGTCACACAATTGCCCCAAATCTTGAAACAAATCTTCTCCTCGTCGGTTATCAATATATGAGGGGGTGGGTAGGGGTAAACGAATTTTAATTGTAAATATGTATTAAGAGAAATATATTTTATTATTAAAAATGTCTTTCAACAATGACAGTTGATTTAATTACTTGAAAATATCACAGTGAGACTTGAATAATTACAAAAACATTATTGCAACAAGAAAAAGTTTAAGTGCATAGTTGGTTGCCTATTTTACACTTACGTACTAACGCTTTAAATGTTATATTATTACCGTTATTGAATTTAATTTCTTAAAGCATTAATTATTAGTCGATTTGGTATTAATAAATATACAGTCATAATAATTTTATGTAACAATTACAAATTTGTGGTGTATAATTGGTTGCTTGTCTTTATATTAGTTTTTTGTATTTTTTGTTTATTAATTATTTATACAAATGTAATAACAACGAAAAACATAAGTTGTGTTACATAAATGATTCAAATATGTGTTATATTCTATTAAGTCGACTTTATTGTCCAAAAATCGAATTTGGCCAAATTATGTAACCAACTATTGAAATATAAAAACAAAAGAGAAATAAATGCTTGTTAAATGTAACTAATAATAGAAACAACGTTTTTTATAACAATTGATTAAATTGCCTAAAAATAAAAATGCTTGTATTGATGGTTGCTTGACTTTTAATAAAAGTTATTTAAAATTTACAATATGAGTGTTATTGATAACATTCTTAGTGCATAGCGTAATCAATAGTGCATTCGGTAACAACAAAATCACAATTATAATAATTTAATGTAATAATAAAAATCTGAGTTGTATAACTGGTTGCCTACATTGTGCTGTTTATTCGATTCATTGTTGATTTGTAATTTATACGATGACAGTGAAAAACACCGAATATATTAAATAAACGATTTGAATGTGTTTTTTGCCCCCTTAAACCGTCCTGTTTTTTTTTAAAACTTCAACGGGTTAGTGGCATTACATAACCTCACTTTTCAAATTGGAGGGAAAAACCTAATTTACACACAATTAAAACCAGGGCCCTTCAAAGGGCTCAGAAGACAAACCATTTGCACCGATTTATTTATTACGTGGCCCCCATTTTAGAAAAACGTCAGAAACATTGATGCTTTACCAAAATTGGCAACTAAATTGATAATGAGGCAATGAATTAAAAGCTGATATTTGGGAAATTGTTTCCCGTGTGTGAAAATTCCTGAAAATGAAAATGCCTGAAAAATTTTCTCGGTTCTCGCCCGATGCCAGTTAGGGGAAACGGCGTTGCCAACCCATGGTTGCAAACTAGTGTTTTGTTTGTGGTACCCCAAGGATTGTTTTTGTCCCAAATGCGTTTTGGTGTTTTCCCGGGGCTTATCTCAGTGTTTCATTGTCGGAAAATCGTGAAAATCGTGCGAGAAAAGTGCATTTATTAGTGTTTATTTGTTTGTTAGGTTGGCGGTCTGGCGACGCCAAGCCGCATGGTACCATGGGATAATCATGTACGTCGGTGACAAGTGAAACAATTCGCATTCTGAAGGTAAAAATAAACACAGGTTGGGAGTGTTTTCGCCCCCTTGTGTGCCCCCTGACTTCGCCCCAGCCATTCCCTCACCCCTCGATTGCCACTAAAATAATTAGAAATGGTTTACGCAGATCCCTGTAATCGCAGCCCCAAATACGACTAAACCGTCCCAGGAGCGGCACCACAGCCCCTTTTAACCTTTTTTAGGGGAAAAATCAATGAAACGGCAAAAATGACCGACGACGAAGGCCCGAAATACAAAGACGGCGACATTGTTTGGGTGAAATTGGGGCCTTGTTGGTGGCCCGGAGAGGTCACAGAAAACGCCCCCGAGGACTTCACCTCCAAGAAACCCCCCCTAGCCATCGTCAAGTTCTTCAACGAGGCCACTTAGTAAGTCAACCCTTGCAAAAACCACCCTAACCTAACTTTTCTAGTGAGTTTGTCAAAACCCCCAATCAGATTTATAACTACAACTGCGAGCGCAAAAATGAGTTTATTAAAAAGGGAATGGGTGAGTCGTAGTGTGTCAAGAGACGGTTATAACCCCCCTGAATTGCAGACTCCTTCCGGGCTAATAACCCCCACATGGAGAAATTCCCAGGGGACGTGTCTTTAGCCGAAATACGCACTGACGGCAACCCCAACATCCTCGCAGACCCCATTTTCGCCCCCCAGAAGCGGAGCAACATCATCGCGGAGGTGTTCGGCAGCCCCGCGCCCAAGAAGACCCCCAAGGAGGGGAAACACGCCCGGGGACGCAGTTCAAGTAGCCCCCCACTCGCCCAATTTCCTTAACTAAACAAGAATTTTTCCAGAAAATTCGGGTAAAAAACCCAAATTGAACATCACCCATCGTCGATTTCTGGGTTGTGACGACTACGAGGCCCACATCCGGGTCCAATTTCCGGGTAAAGACGTCGAAAACTCCAGTGGTGACGAAGAAATCGTCAAATTAAATGCCGAACCAAACAAAACGTTCAATTGTTCGTCTTGTAATTTTCAAACGAATCGAATCGACGTGATGTTGTTTCACGTCAAATGTCATATTAAAGGAATCGCGTCGCCTATGCCGGTAAAAAAGAAAACTGTACCGAAAAAGAAGAAATCGAAGATAATTAAACATATAACGTCCGATGATGACCACACGAATTCTAGTTCGGCATTCCTCGACACCGATAGTGAGGAAGAAAAGCCGAAACCGAAACGAAGAAGAAGAGTCACCTCACCGAAGAAGAAACCAAAACGAAATGAAGAACCCACAATTGACATTAGGACGAATCTCCTCGCCGAATGGTCCGACAGTGAAAACGAAGAAGTCGAAACAAGTAAAGAAAAAAATGAAGATGAAGAAAACAACAAAAATGAAGAAAAAGAGCACAAATCGTGTTTTGATTTCGACGATGAAGAAGAAGAAACGTTAGGTGAGACCACAGCCGGACGTAAAATCCCACGTGTAATCCCCCCGAAATCAAGCGAAATTGAAGAAGAAACTGAAGAAACGACGAAAAGTAGCGACGAATTTAAAGATTTAATGGAATCGACGTCAGTACCCGATTTACCAGACGTACCACCGGAAGTGAAACCACAAAATAATATCAAAACGGAAGTTGCAACGAAATTAACCAATCCGAAGAAACGTTTCGTTAAATCATTTGAAGATTTCGAATTGTTGCAAAACGAACAACGCAAAGCACAGGAAGAAGAAGAGAAGAAAGGGAAAGTGGTAGTGGAAGCGGTCGAACCACCACCCGAACACAAAACAGCCGAATCCGAAAAAGAAGAAGAAGAAGAAGAAAAGATCGAACCCAAAGAAGAAAAGATCGAACCTAAAGAAGATAAGATCGAATCAAATCTTCAAATATCGAAATTGAAATGTCAGATTATGTCAAAACTAGGCGATGAAGAACCAGAAGTGAGCAAAACGAAGAAATCACATCGGTCACCCAGAAGCAAGATTTTGGAATCGTACCGAAAAGACAAGAGGAAAAGTGTGGAAGAAGTGAAGAAAGACGAGGAAGAGGATGTGGTTAAGCAAGTCGAAGAGCTTCCAATTGAAGAAAAAGAAATGAAGAAACTTGATGAAGAAATCGAAAAGATCAATCCAATCGATGATTATCTCAACGATTTTCTTTTCGATTTGCAGAAGAAGGAAGAGAGTCCTAAAAATGACAAAATCGAAGAAGAAAAAGAAGAAGAAAGCGCCCCAAATGAGGTTCGAATCAAATCGGATTCGGGTGATATTGATATTGCTATCAAAACAAATTTGAGTAATTTTAATAAAGGTGAAGAAGAAATGTCTGCATTGAGCACACTTGCAATGGTTTCGCAATTGGAAGAAGAAAAACCAATAGAAGAAGAAAATGAAGAAATTAAGTTACCATTTGTGGAAAAACCGGAAACGGAAATGGTACCAATCGATGGTAATTTGACTAAAGTTTCCGAAAAAGACTTAGCTGATAGTCAAGTTGAAATCACAGCAACGTGTAAAAAACCCGTCACTTTGACCAATTTCTCAATGGATTTCTCCGAATGTAATAGTAATAGTAATAATAGTGAAACGAGCGAAGTGAGTGAAACAAAAACTGAAGAAACAAAAAAGAATGACGATTTAATGGATTTAGAAGAACATATACCGTCACAAATCGTCGATAAAAAAACAAAAGATGATGAAGATAAGGAAGAAGATAATCCTCCATCAAAACTCCTCGAACGTTTAACCGAAAAACCGAAAACGATAAAAGTGCCTAAAGATAGTACAAAAGTGACGAAGAAATTCATCATTAAATCGCCAACTAGTAAAATTATTAAACCGGTTACAACCTCAAACAAACCGGTTATTTTATCCGAGAAGATAATTAAACCGATTACCCCCACTACTGCTTCAGTTTCTGTACAAAAAGTCACCTCGAAACGTAATTTACACGATCCTGACGAAATCGACGCTTTTATCATACAAAAAGGTAATAAAACGGAAGAAGAAGAAGAAGAAGAGGAAAATGAAGAAATACCGGTGAAAAAACTGAAGAAAAATACAACAGGAATGGATTTGAAAAAATTACAAGTTTCATCAACTGCAACATCGGTGAAGAAAAGAGGCAAAGCGAAGATTTTACAACAGACAATAATTACACCAGCTGGTGAAATAATCCAACCAGGGGTACCAACCTCTGATGATAATGTTTTTGATATTAATTCAATGCCGATTGTGCTCTCCGATCAGATTCTCACACCGGAATCGATTGAAAATATGCCGATTTATTTATCCGAGGCACCAGCCGAGCAACCGAAAATCGTTAAAAAAGCAATCCCAAGTCAAATGCGTGTTATTAATAAATCAATATCTTCATCTGGCACCAAATTGATAAAAACACCCAAAATTCTAGGTACTATGGGTACCAAACTGATCAAACAAAATTCATTTAGTCCGAAACAAAAATTTGTTATTGTAACACAACCAACAGCTACAGCAACAACAAGTAAATATACAGTGGGTAAAAAACAAATTGTTAAAAGTGCGGGAACTTTAACTAAAGTGCAAAATATAGCACCGGAACCATCCGGAAATAAAATAATGATTTTGACAGATCAACAAGGACAACAACAACGTGTACTTCTAACACCAGCACAACAAAAAATGATGGGGTACCAAAATCAAGGTACGAAAATTAAAACTGTGATGAAAGGTGAGGCGAAGCCGAGCTATTGCAACTACTAATCACATATAACTTGTTTTTTTTTTTTTTCACAGGTAATATAATCCAGAAGGCTAAGGATGGTTCAATGCCTGGTTCTAGTGGTTTAATCACTAAAACCATCACTCCGAGTCGTGTTTTAACACAATTAAAAAAACCAATCGGTCGTAAAATACAAATGCAAAGTCAAAAAGTACCAATTAAACCACCACCATTACAACAAAAAACCATTCTTATTAAAAATCAACATGGCCAAACTGTACGTAAAATTCAAGGTACTGATGATGCATTATTAGATAAACAAGTCGCTGAACAAATCGAAGCGATCAAAGCAAGCGGTGTATTACAACAAAAACAAGAGATTTTGAATTATAAAAATAAAACGTCGACAGTACGACGTTCATATGTGAAGAAAATTGATAGTCCGAAAAAAACCGAACCGGTTCCCCCACTCGCACCAATATCACCGAAAAAACCCGAAGTGGAAAAACAACAGGAGGGTAAATCCCTTCATCAGTTGGTAATACAGGACGCTATGGGTAATCAAACGACGATCACAGAAGGCCAAATTTTGGCATTACCAAGTGAGACTATTGATGGTCAACCACAATCCTATATGTTGGTAACATTGGATGAAAGTGGAAATTTAACACCGTTGAATAATGAAGCGTTATTATCACTTGATCCCAATTTGGGATTAGGTGGGGATTTAGGGAATACGGTTTTACAAATCGATCAAAGTGAGGGAATAACAACAACAACAACAGCAGCAACAACAACAACAACACAGTCGGAGGTTAAAAGTGAAGAAGTGGTGGCGCCACCTGTCACAAAAGAGGAGGAAAAACCCGATGGACAACAATTAATTGTAACGGGGGATCCCATAGCTGCACAAAAATTTCTAGAATCACTAACTGAAGGTAATACAGATTTGGCAAATATATTAGCAAATGCTGAAGGTTCAATTTTGATTCATGCTGATGGTCAACAAATTCTAATAAATACAGATTCCGACAATCAAATGTTATTATCAGTCAATACAGATAATTTAAATATGGCGGAAAGTAGTGAAGGTGGGGGTAATCCGATTTTTGCTACACAACCATCGAAAAATCAAGATATCCTTGCAGCTGCCCTCGCCGACACTGATGTATTTCAAGGTGAACAAAATAATGGCCAAAAAGTCTCACAATTGAGTCCAAATAGTAGTCTATATCCGATTAATGTCGGTAACGTATTAGAAACAAGCTTAACTTTGAATTCACCAATCATGACACCGCTTGAAGTCCCATCGACCAATAGTAAAAAGATTGATGAGAGTGATATTTTAGCACCAGTACCTAAAACAGTCGATCTACCAATCACAATCACCGATCCTAATATATCACAGACTGTATCCCAGCAACAAGTTTCGTTGCCTAGTAACATAGAATTATCATTACCAATAAGCGAGTCGGCAATAGTCACGTGTTCAGAGATGAGTTACTATTCGTTGCCGAGTCTCGAATCGGATCGAAGTATGCCGATTTTGACCGAAGATGAGCCGAAGGATGATGAGAAGGGGGGGAATGATGAGAGTGAGGGGTTGTGTACACTTGGGGGCGAAATGTGTAGTTCTTTGAGTGAGCCCCCCCCTGATATGTTTGATTTGTCGGCGGTTTTGTCCTCCCAGAAGGAGAAGGACGAGTCGAATCCGGGATCGGTGACTGAGACGAGTAGTCCGAATACTGTGAATGAGGATTCGTGCGAAATTCCGGTCCAGCCGGAAATTGTGACGAAATTGGAGGGGGAGGAGAAAGAGGCGAATTCGACTGAGGTGTAAATAAGTGTAAATTGGAGGAGGGGGATTTTTGTATATATTAATTGTTAAATTTATGTACGAGTGTACATAAAGATGATGCTTCTTTTTTATTCATATCTTTTTAACGATTATGATAGGTAAGACATATATGCACACTTAGGTCAAGTTATGCTTATTGTAGATGTATGTTAGAGTAGCTTCCATGTGTCATTTTTCGTGTGATGAAGTTGGTACTGGATAGGATTTTAATCTTGATTAAGACACGTTAAGTAAGCTAGAGATAATGTTCTTTTAAAGATTATGTTATGTATAATTTTATTGTAATAAAAAATTAATCATATTTCTGATATACCTATCAGCCTTGTCTAATTCGAGCTTTAACCAAAAAACCTACCAAAATTTCATATTACCAGTGTTCCACATCAAAAACATAAAATTCACCAGATTTACCAAATTTTCACCAGATTGGGAAGCACACAGTTTTCACGTTAAAAGTTTGCTCAACTCTTGAAAAAAGCTTATTTTCAATAAAATTTTGCGAAATAATTGTGTTTCTGGCTGAAAAACGCTCGAGAAATGACTTAATTTCTCGATTTTTCAGGCAAAACTTGAGATTTTAGTACAAAGACGTGCTTAAGCGCGTTTTTGGCCAAACTTTGTGGTTTCTGAACTTATTTTTGTCTTAATTTTGCTTAGAAATCAGTTAAATTGAATAAAACAAACAAAATAACAATCCTTTTTGTAATTTTTGGGCGTGTGAAATGATCAAGTTAGAGGAGTTTCAGCTTAAAAATCTGTTTGAATCTTCGAAAAAGCAAAAAAATTACCATTTTCAGCCTATTTCTGTGTTTTTTGGCTTGTTGATAAAATTTTGCAAAATTATTGCATTTCTAGCAGGAAAACGTACTAAGACTCCAGAAAATGCAAAATTAATGTAATTTTCGACTTAATTCGTTGCTTTTTGAATTCGTATTAGCTAAAAACATTCTTATTTTGCTCAAAAATCGAGTAAAACCAGATTTTATAAGATAAATGAGCCTCTGGTTCAAAAACGAAGTAACTCGAGCGAAACAAACTAAAATAAAATCAATTTCGATTTAATTTTTAATTTTTTTCTCTGCTTCAACGAAATTTTTAGAGTTTTCTTTGTTTGTATCTAAAAAACGCGCTTAAACACTTGAAAAGGGCAACAATAACGCAGTTTTTGGTTGATATTTTGACTTGTTTTTAACGAAATTTTGCGAAATAATTTCTAACTGAAAAATTATTCGAAAAAGACAAAAATAAATTGTCATTTTCGATCCTATCTAGTAAAATTTTGTAAAAAACTTCGACTTTTTTTGAAAAAATTGACGAAATAACCAAGTTTCTGGTTATAAACGTGAGAATTGCTCGAAAAACAGTTTTTTTCATTTCCAAAAAATCGCCAGATATTAGAATTTTTACAAAAGCTTTCACCAAATCATCAGACTAACATGAAAATCACTGACAACACTGCATATTATTGACTTACCAGTGTTGCCATCGCAAAAAAATTAAAAACACCAATTTCGAGTTGAAAAATTTAAGGAAAGTTTACGTTTTGTTGTGTAAAAATCTAAAAAATCTTTTTTTATCACAGTTTAGTGATTTTTTTACTCGGTATGGCAAAATCTCACAGTTTTTAGCATAAAAATCCACTCAAAAAACGTGTCGAAACGGCCGAAATATGCAAAAATAGCGTTATTTTCGACTTTATTTGTTATTTTTTTGATTTGTTTTAGCGAAAAACCTGAATTTTAGTACAAAAACACGCATTTTCGGCCTATTTTTTGACTTTTTTAAGTGGAAAACGGGCTTAAACACTTGAAAAATAGCAGCGTTTTTGGCTTATTTTGTTAAATTTTTGGCTTGTTTTGAACGGAATTTTGTAATTTAATTGTAATTTATGCTGTAGCAAAGAGGGAAAAGTTTGTGGCGATTATTGTGACCCTTCATTTTAATTTTATGTTGAGATAGGCAACCGATTATACACTATTGTTTTGAAAAAAATTACGTAGATTATTATTTTTGTAGTAAAATAAAAGCAACCACAATTTTTAAACGTTGAGATAGGCAACCAGAAATGACATTTTTGAAAATGTAGATTGTCATTTTTAGTAACATCTTTAAAAAAAACAAACAGAACTCCAATTTTTAAGCAATTTATGGTTGTTAAATTATTTTAAGAAAATGTAGCAAAACACCTAATTAAGTTTCTGGCTAAAAAACGAAAAAAATGCTCAAAAAAAAATAAAAATTATCATTTTCAATTGGAGAAAATCACTGTAAATATTGGAATTTTTACAGAAGTTTTTATTAAATTACTGGAAATAAAAGTTACTAGATCTGGTGAAAGTTCACCAAGCCTGGCAACACTGCTTTTTACATTATTATCAAGAAACAATTCATTTTTTATTTAATTCTTTGGGGGAGTTCATGTAGTAGAGGTGTATTACTGGTTGCGTTAGCTTTATGAAAAAACTATATTTTGTGTTAATAAAAAGCTGCAAAAATTGCACTTTATAAGTTATTTGTATCAAATAAAATACAGTATTTTATTTAATTCCCAAGTTTAGTATAGACGTATTACTAGTTGCATAAGCCTGGTAGTTCACAATTTTTATTTCAAATAAATTATATTCTAATTTGTTTATTTTTATAAACTAAAACTCAATTTTTAACACAACTTTTTTAGTTGTATTACAGGTTGCATAAGTCAATTAGAAAAAAACTTATTTTTTGCTGTTTTTTGTACAAAAAAATTGCACGGACGCAAATTTACAGACACTACATGTCTAAAAACACATTTCATTCAATTTGTGTCCAATTCTTTCCAAACGTATTACTGGTTGCATAAGTCGCTTATTAGTTTCAGGGAAAAAAATTGTGTTGCTCTAATCCTCTAATGTACAATTTTATTCAAAAAAAATTAATCAAATTCCTAAATGTATTTAAAGACAACGTCGCGCTTATCGCCCACTGTCTGTAACTCGACTTTTACAGGACTCTGTAACCAAAAACTCAACAATTCTTCTGTATACCCGATCAAAAAGTACATTTTCCTCGCACTAACACTCCTCCTAACAATCCCAGCGATCCTTATGATATTATGTTGTCTTTTGATGATAATTTCGCTCAAAAACAACGCATGCCAAGTCCCGGTCATAAACTTGCGGATGAAAACGTCCTCAATTGCGGTCTCGGAGGCCCTTAGGCCGCCCTCCAAGTTGGCTGAAATCACAATGAGCCCCCTTGTTTTGCCTCGAATGCAACTTACAAGTGTTCCACGAGTTCCAGGTCTTGCGATGGGCGATTTGGTGGGGCGGATTGGCCATTTCGTAAGTGAGGGCTAGGTCCTTCCTGGGGGTGATGCGATAGCGGCCTGATTGCGATTTGGGGCACACTGTGGAGGTGTGCAAGAGGCGGTGGAGGGTGGGTGGGCGCAGGACCTGGGGGCGCCGAAGTGAGGTTAAGTTTCTTTAAAAGGGGTACTTACGTTTCTGAGATGCGGGAGAGACATTTTTGAGCGAATTTGTATGATTCGTTTTCTTGGTTAGGTTGGTTTTTGAACGAGTGAGAATTTTGGGAAGATGGCGCTGTTCATATAGAAAGAAAACTGTAACGTGATGGGATTACAGATTACTGTAATGTTACTGAACGTATTTTTTGTCAGTTTTACATAAAGAAATAATCCATTTGATTAAATCGTCAATTTATTGTGTTAAATACCCAAATTTTTCATTAGGAGTTTTTTTTTTAATTATACTGAGTGATCTATAAAAATAGTACCTCCAGCGACTGTCATTTATTTTTTGGTATTAAATAATTAAAAAACTGATAATGTTTCTACCACAGATCAGTAGTGGAACAAAACAAATTTCCTTTTTTTGTTGATAATTTTTTATAACAAATAAAAAACTTTACCCACATTACAGTTTCCTGTTTTCGGTATTCAAATTAAAGCGCGAAAACACCGTATTACCATGACGCCTTATTGAAATTTGATCGATATTCTGTCAAAGTTTGAAAAATGGCCGAACGTATCATCCCCCTAAGCACAACCCTTGTAAAATATGACAATCCAGTCCTTGTTACGAAACACGAAGAAAAGAAACCTACTCTTGCTAAGGTACTTCCCATTTTTCTCCTCAAACGCAACTTCTCTTCTCCTCAAACTCAACTTTTCTCCTAATCAAACTCAATATTTTTCTCGTCAAACTTAATTTTTCTCCTCAAACTAAACTTTTCTCATTTTAAAACTCAACATTTTCCTCGTTAAACTGAACTTTTTCCTCCTCAAACTCAACTTTTCTCCTCCTCAAACTCAAGTTTCTTCGTCCTCAGATTCAACATTTTCCTTAAACTCAAGTTCTCTCATCCTCAATTCAACATTTTTCTCCTCAAAAACAATTTTTCTCCTCCTCAAACTCAACTTTTCTCCTACTCAGACTCAATATTTTCTTTGTGAAACTGAACTTTTCTCCTCAAACTCAACTTTTTTTCTCCTTAAACTATCTTTTCTTGATCTCAAACTCAATTTTTTTGTCTTCAACATTTTCTTCCTCAAACTCAACTTTTCTCTTCAAACTTAACTTTTCTTGTGCTCAGACTCAACATTTTCCTCGTCATAGTCAACTTTTTTTATCCTTAAATTCAACTTTTCTCCTCACACTTAACTTTTCTCGTCTTCAAACTCAACTTTATTCCTCCTCAATTTCAACTGTCCTCCTCAAACTCAATTTTTCTCCTCATCAGATTTAACATTTTCCTCCGCAAACTCAACTTTTTTCATCCTCAGACTCAATATTTTCTTCGTCAAACCCAACTTTTTTCCTCCTCAAATTCAACTTTTCCCGCCCTCAGAATCAACATTTTCCTCCTCAAACTCAACCTTTTACCTCCTCAGACTTAACTTACTTTCTTGTCCTCAGACTCAACATTTTCCTCGTCAAACTCAACTTTTCTCCCCATACTCAACTTTTTTACTCCTCAAAGTCAACTTTTCTCGTCGTCGTACTCAAAATTTTCTTCGTCAAATTCAACATTTCTCTCCTCAAACTTAACCTTTCTCATCTTCAGACTCAACAAATTCTTCGTCAAACTCAACTTTTTTCCTCCTCAATTTCAACTGTTCTCTTCAAACTCAATTTTTCTCCTACTCAGACTCAACATTTTCGTTGTCAAACTCAACTTTTTTCCTCCTCAAATTAATTTTTCTCCTCCTCAGATTCAACATTTTCGTTCTTTTTTCCTACTCGAACTCCACTTTTCGCCTCCTCAAACACAACTTCTCTTTTCCTCAAACTCAACTTTTTTCCTTCTTGAACTAACTTTTCTCGTCCTCAAATCCAACATTGTCCTCGTCAAACTCAACTTTTTTCCTCCTCAAGATCAGCTTTTCTCCTCAAAATTTTACTTTTATCGTCCTCAGAGTCATCAGTTTCTTCGTCAAACTCAACAGTTTTCCTCAAACTCAACTTTTCTCCTCCTCAGACTCAACATTTTCCTCGTCATACTCAACTTTTTTCCTCAAACTCAATTTTTCTCCTCAAACTCAACATTTTCCTCTTCAAGCACTATTTTTCTCTTATCAAACTTATTTTTTCTTCTCAAACTTATCTTTTTTCTCAAAATAAACCTTTCTCGTCTTCAGACTCAACATTTTTCTCCTCAAACTCAACTTTTCACGTCCTCAGACAAAACAGTTTCTTCGTCAAACTCAACTTTTCTCCTCAAACTTATTTTTTTCTTCCTCAAACAAAACTTCTCTTCTCAAACTAAAATTTTCTCCTACTCAAACTCAACTTTTCTCTTCAATCTCAACTTTTTTCCTCCTCAGATTCAACATTTTCCTTATTTTCTCCTACTCAAACTTCACTTTTTGCCTCTTCAAACACAACTTCCCTTTTCCTCAAACTCAACTTTTTTTCCTCCTTGAACTAACTTTTCTCGTTCTCAAACTCAATTTTTCTCGTCCTCAAACTCAACTTTTTTCTTCCTCAGATTCAACTTTTCTCCTCAAACTTTACTTTTCTCGTCCTCAGACTCATCAGTTTCTTCGTCAAACTCAACTTTTTCCTCCTCAAACGCAATTTTTCTTCTTCTCAAACTCAACTTTTCTCGTCCTCAAATCCAACATTGTCCTCGTCATACTCAACTTTTTTCCCCCTCAAACACAATTTTTCTCCTCAAACTCAACTTTTCCCTCCTCAAACAAGATTTCTTTTCTCCTCAAACTAAACTTTTCTCCTACTCAGATTCAACATTTTCCCCGTCAAACTCAACTTTTTTCTCAAACTAAACTTTTCTCGTCTTCAGATTCAACAGTTTTCTCCTCAAACTCAACGCAATTTTTATCCTCCTCAAACTCAACTTTTTCCTCCTCAAACAAAACTTCTCTTCTCCTCAAACTAAACTTTTCTCCCACTCAGATTCAACATTTTCCCCGTCAAACTCAACTTTTTTTCTCAAACTAAACTTTTCTCGTCTTCAGATTCACCAGTTTTCTCCTCAAACTCAACTGTCCTCCTCCCAACCCAATTTTTCTCCTGAAACTTACCTTTTCCCCTCCCAAAACTCAATTTTTCTCCTCCTCAAGCTCAACTTTTCTCGTCTTCAGATTCAACAGTTTCCTCCTCAAACTCAACTGTTCTCCCCCCAAAACCCAATTTTTCTTCTGAAACTTAACTTTTCCCCTCGCAAAACTCAATTTATCTCCTGAAATTGAAATTTTCTCCTCCTGAAACTGAATTTTCAGGAGCGCTCAGCTGAAGAATCGCACACTCGTGCCAAATCCGCGGCGATTCTAACCGACGCCCGTCGCGAAACCGAAGAGATCCTCAACACGATCCTCCCCCCCAAAGAATGGGAGGAGGAGGGCCAACTATGGAGGCAAAACGTCTCCACAACCCCTGCAACGCGTCTAGACGTCATCAATTTACAAGAACAACTCGATATGAGACTACAACAACAACAAGTTGGCCAAAATCAACAACAGATGGCGCTTCTTAATTCTTGTATTTTTTAGGCCCGCGAAACTGGGATTTGTCCCGTACGTCGCGAGTTGTACACTCAATGTTTCGACGAAATCATCCGACAAGTGACGATCAACTGCGCCGAGCGCGGCCTACTATTATTGCGCGTGAGGGACGAAATGCGCATGACCATTGAGGCCTACCAGGCCTTGTATTGCAGCAGTATTGCGTTCGGGATGCGCAAAGCGCTACAAGCCGAACAAGGCAAGAGTGATTTGCAACAAGATGTTGAGGATTTGAAAAGGGAAAAACAAGAATTGGAGCATCAAATAATCGAGTTGAAGCAGCGRGCGGAACAAGCCGATCGACGAGCAGCCGAAACGAGGTTAGCCGAAGAGAGGAAGCACACTGAAGAAATAGC